GAGTGTTTGTGTGTATTTCTGTAGTCCATCATAGCAAAAACTAAAGCACTGAATTGGTCAAACTGTTAAATCTTCACGTTTAGGACCAGAGTATTCACAACCGAAACTTTTTGTGAGCACCCCTGTGTGTCTTGAGCCATTTTCAACCCCCTCGTTTTACATGTACAATCCTGCTGTTATTATACTCTAATTTACTGCCAAACTTAGAGTTACAGATAGCTTAACTGCTTGATTGTGATTCTCAAACATTTTAACACCTTTTACCTGCAGCTACAGACTCTAAGTATTATATGCTAGGCCTTCAAGAACAAATACAAAGGTAAACAAGAAAATGTATTCCTCATAAAAGTTATTAGACTATATACCAAAGAACTCTGTACAGTACTCTGTACTGTATTGCATTACAACTGGTACGAGTGTTCACGTCTGAAACCAGACACACACATGCATGTGCACATCAGATAATCAGGAGTCAGAGCCCCTTTGTACCACTAGGGGGAGCCCAAGTACCACCAGTGGTACATGTACCGTAGTTTGAAAACCAATTCTTTATGGCTATTATAATATTTCGTATGATATTTAAAAAAAAAAAAAATTAACAGTTAGACTTCATGCAATTCTTTTGTTAACAATGACTCGTCACTCCCCCACTCCGCCCTTTTACCCATCCCGTTGTTTTTTCATTTCTTGTAAACACCCAGCGACCAGTGCACACACACACACACACACACCAAGGCATATTATCAGCCACTGGGTCCCCTAGACCCAAAGGAAAACGGGTGGGTTAAGAGATTATAAATGCTGATGAAGCTGTGTGTTACACTAAACATCTCTATTATCCACGATTCTTTAATGATTATTTTTTTTGACTGTGACTAAAGAATTGCGCTTTTCCACAGGCATATGCTGACTACATGGGCTTCATCATGGCCCTGAATGAGAGTGTGAAGAGAAAGAAGCTGACATGTGACTATCACGTGTCTGAGGTGTGTATGGTCTTCCCATCAGAAGCCTTTCAAGGGCTCCTTTCTTTGCATGTTAGTCAAAAAGTCCCAAGAACAATGGAATAAAAGAGGAGATGAAAATATGTGTTGTTATCTCCCATAACAAATTCCACAGAGATCAGATGCCTGACTTTCCTCCATGTTACACATAAGTTTAGGTTTGGTTAGGAAGCAGCAGCAGCTGCTGTCCATCTGTTCAAAGCTGTTATAATGTGACTTCAGAGTTGGTCATCATCAAGTTTGATTGAACAGAATTACTCAAACTTATGGACTTTGGTGTTGAAGAGTTACTGTTTCACAACGGTGACACAAATGTGACAGAAACAAGAAAACAAAGGTTAAAACTTTGAGAGTTTTCCTCTTCTTTTAAATCAAACATTTGATCTTTTTCAGTGTTACAATGATATTGATGTGATTACTTCTTAGTTATTTTATGGCATTCGACAGCTTGTTGTTTTACCTGTTGCGTCCGTGTTGCTGAATCGCTCATCTTGCCACAGACAGTGGAGAAGCTACTCAAACTCTTGGCGACCCTAGAGCGGTGGATTGACGAGACGCCTCCTATCGATCAGCCGTCACGCTTCGGTAATAAAGCCTACAGAACCTGGTACAGCAAACTAGATCAGGTCAGTATACACACACTTTCTGAAACTCACCCACTGATGACTCCTGTTAAGGCAGCTGGTCTTACATTTGTCTGTGTGTGAGCAGGAAGCAGAGGCCCTGGTCTCAGCGGTGCTCCCTGCTGACAAAGGTGCAGCATCTGCAGAAATAGCGGTTTATCTTAAAGAGTCTGTGGGAAACTCCACCAGGATAGACTACGGAACAGGTAACACCTTCTACTGCTCTTCCACTGTAACTCTCTCCAAAATATGTTTATTTAGGCTGCATTGATTCATCAGGAAACTCAGAAGTCGGCTGACATGATTTAAAAATATTTAATTTTACATCAAAACTCTTTTAAACTAAAACTATTAAAATGAGCAGGATCTCACAATGTAAAAATAGCCGATGGCCAACTGGAGATCTTAGATCTCACAATGTAAAAATAGCCGATGGTCAACTGGAGATCTTTTGATAGTGGTAGTGAAGTTTTATGCAGATGCACTGCATTTTAACTCATGTATTTAGTTCATGTATCTAATTCAGGTCAAACCAGTTTCTGTTGGAAACCAAAAAGTTAAAGCCCAAATACAGTGTAAACAAACAACTAAAAACCAGCAAGGAACAGTAAGGGATAAAACTGGTAACAAAATAGACAAAACGATAAATAATACAATAATATAAAATGACTTGAGCTAAAGATGACAAACTCAAGATTGACCTCAAATGTAGAAAACAATAGCAAAATATCTACAAATAAGCCAGAGCTGTATCTTCATTATGTTCATTAACGGTTTGGATTTGAGCCAATGAGATGATTGCTGTTAAAATGGTTTAAAAGTCCTCACTGTGACAGGAAGAAATGGTAGAATTGAACAGAGGGATGGTGTTGTAGAAGTGAATGGAAATGTTACTGTAAGTACCGTACGAGAGTTTGTTATAGCTGGGTTTTTTTTTTCATCATTACTGGGGCACAGTGGCTCTGTGCTCGTTCTGAACAGCTCCAGGACCACGGCTCCATCAGTGCAGAGGAACGTCTCTGTGTGGAGTCTCAAAAACCCGGGGTTTCTTGCTGAAGTGTGACCTTGACTGATTTTAATTGGGGGTTATTTGAGCAGCAGCAGCTGCTCCCAGTACTGTGTATCGCCACGTGTTCCTGTACTGCACAGAGTGGCCTACTTTCACACTCCTGATTTCACCTCTACTTCAAAAGGTTGTTCATTCAAAAAGATTTAAAAAAAAAAACACAGCCATTGTTGTTTCCGGAAAGAGTCGGAGTTATTCTGTCCCAGATGTACCATTACTACGTGCGTGTAGGTGCTGTGGATCTACTTATGGAGATATATATTTTTGGAGGGAAATACTATTGTTTCCCCCCCCCCAAAATGATGCGTGTCTTCCATTCTTTTCCTGGAGACGATGTTGTGTAGTATCGTTCACATACACCCATAAAAAGACAAGCAAGAAGAAGACAGCAGACTTCAGTCTGAGCAGGAACATTACCACCACGTCCTCCACCATTTTCCATTACCATAGAAACACATACCAACCCAGAAATAAACTCACCACTGCCCCCCAATGGATGCATTCTTTAACAATCATGCTCAAAATGAGGCACACCTGGTACAACGTGGCCAGTAATGTCTGAACTGGACGTAGCTATTAAAGCATGTGAAGGGAGAATAAATAAGGAATAGAATCCAATCTGATTAGAGTCAGGGCATATTTATTGAAGTTAAGGTAAGTGAAGTGCTAAGAAAATATAAAAACATTTGTTTGTGTGTTTGTGTGTGTACTCAGGTCACGAAGCTGCCTTCGCTGCGTTCCTCTGCTGCCTCTGTAAGGTGGGAGCTCTCACAGTGGAGGATCAGCTGGCCATGGTCTTTAAGGTGTTTGACAGGTGAACCTCAGCTGCTAGATGTTTCCATCCGGTCTTTTGTTCCACCAAACTGTTGTTTGTCAGGAACCACTCTCCTGTCCTCGCCTGTTGTTACAGATATCTGGAAGTGATGAGGAAGCTGCAGAAAACCTACAGGATGGAACCTGCCGGTAGTCAGGGTGTGTGGGGACTGGACGACTTCCAGTTCTTGCCCTTCATATGGGGCAGCTCGCAGTTAGTAGGTAAGAAGCATTGATGGGATTAACGAGAGATCTCAGATGATTAGGCATCAAAGGTGTGAGGTTTTACATAATACAAACTGTGGTTCAAATCAACCATTGAAGTTTATGATCTATTGTAATAATAATGTTTGTGGAGGAAATGTCGGACTGATAATACAAACTGTGGTTCAAATCAACCACTGAAGTTTATGATCTATTGTGGAGGAAATGTCGCTAACATGAGCGGTTGTTGATAACTATATGTATTTGGTGTTTTTTTTTTTCTACGGGCTTGACTAGAATTCTAACTCCAAACTAAATCTTGAACCTCTAAATGCCTTCTTGCAAAGGGACATGGACAGAGTATCCCGCCAAAAATAGTCATTCCTTAAAGAAATGTCCCATCAATCATAGCTGCACAGGGATAACACGCACATAAGCACACACACGCACACAAACATACATATTCACGTGTCTTGCAAGCGTCGCCTCTTTTAATCTAAAGGTAAACAGTGACATCTTGTGGTAAGCACACTGACTTGCATCTCCATCTCCCTTCAGATCACCCGACGCTGGAGCCGCGGCACTTTGTGGATGAGAGGGCGGTGAACGAGCACCACCATGACTACATGTTTCTGGAGTGCATTAAGTTCATCAATGAGGTTGGAAATATTCATTAATAATCTGACTATTTCAAACCAAATATAATGGTTTTCTATTCATTCTATTTTTTCTATTCTACACAAAAAGACTACAATAATACAATACAGTAACATGTTACTGTGAGGAAAGGCAAAAAAGAGATTTTTAACCTTTCTGGCTCCAAGAACAGTATTTTATTTCCACATAGTCCTATTTACAGAATCAGGAAAATAGATTGGGAACCTTTAGTCCTAAGACATTTGCTGTTGTTTTCATGTATGATTGTGTTTATTTACAGAAGAGTTGAAGAATTATTTTGACGTTGACTTTGTCTCATCACATCTTTATTATTTAAAAAAAATAATTTTACGGTCTCATCACATCTTTATTATTTAAAAATTTTTTACATTTTTTTCCCAACATTGAGGACGTCCGTCCAAACACTGCTGAGAACAGTTTTCTTCACCTACAGTCAATACTGTATGTCCTGTTGTAGTTTGACCCCAGAATAGGGATTTTTTCTTTTCCTGCTCAGGAACAGGAAGACAGAGGGGAAAAGGTGAAACGGATTCTGTGGGTCATAGCCAGAGCAGGAACGCCGTGCTTTGTTTTTGGGAGGAAAAGGAGGGGAGGAAAGTGGGGTGGGGGACGTTGGTGGAGCGGCAACATCCTTTTCCTTCTTCCCACTCACATGAACCTCCTCCTTTTTCCTCCTCCTCCTGTCCTCCTGTTTGACCCCTCTGTCTCTCGCTCTAGTCCACACACTGATGGACAGACACTGTTTGAAGGTCGTCCACACAGTCTCCATCATTTCCATTGTTGCTCAACCTTTCTCCCCCTTCGTTCTCTCCTCCAGTGTGTCTCCTTTACTGGAACTGTTTTAGTGAAGTGATCCTGGGACGTATCAGCACGATAAACGTCCTGTGATTTGTTCAGGGCGGAGACTTTTGATGCTTGATGAGCTCATTATAGCCTTTTATAAAATAACTTTTTATAATCTTTTTCATTATAGCCTTTTATAAAATAACTTTTTTTTTTTCTTTTTTGTGATTTTTTTTTTTTTTTTTTTTTTTTTTTTTTTTTACTACTTTTAAAAATCTAAACAGGAAACCGGAAGTGTATTATTTTTTGTGCGAAGTTCTCACAGTGGATGAGAGACTGCGGAAATGCTTCTTGGCTCCTGACCACAAAAACTATTTTTAAAAACACATTCAGGATAATTAGGCAGAGGTTCTTCATCTTTAAATGTAAAGTTTGTGTAATGTATGTCATTTTTCAAGCATTTAGGAAAACAGAAACGCCTGCAGGTTTTTAAGTCTCAGGACTTTGCAACAGTAGTAACAATAGTACCTGGGTCACTAAAATTTACATCATAATAAAATAAATAAATTCCATTCCGTTTTAAATAATGTTAAGAATTTTATTATTTAAAAAAAAACGTTTCAGACCTATAAACATGCAACATTATGACCTACTTCACATATGAAGTCGGGGGACAGCGCTTGGTGCTGAAATAAATATCCAGTGTTTGTGGTCAATTCTTGATATGAGAAAGACTCTGAAAGGATAGAACAGACTCGCTTCGATAAGAATAATAGAATCAGATCAGAATAGAATTATTACATAGCTCTTAGATAACGTAACAGTAGTACTTGCTTAAAGTGAAAAGTCTTAGGAGGAGGAGGTTTGTCGTTGGCCATACGTTGGACTGTGCTGCATTCACTTTCTGTCGTTTATGTTGTTTTTTTGGGGAACTTTTTGCCCTTCATTATGGCTTGCAGGCATGAGTCAAACTCTTCTGATGTTTTTATGTCCTAGTTTATGATGTTAGCATTGTGTTAGCTTACATGAGTAACATAGGTACACTGTGTGAGTTCTGCCTTACGACGAAATCTTAGTTACGTTGCTATGTAGGAATGGAACGCCGACGTAAGTCGAGCAGCCCGCGTATTTATTAATTTATTATATTATTGGATTGAAGGAGCCTTAACAGCATGTTCAGTTCATCATAGGATTCATTACTGCCATGCAGGAAATACAGTATAATATCAGGCATAAAGTACCAAATCACTATGTCAGGTCATGTTATCACCATGGCGACCCCAGATAAACGAACGAGCTGAGAGTGATTCTTTCACATGATAAGTTCACAGATTCTTTCTTCACAATGTAAATGTAAAAGAAATGACTTATTGACAGTTCTGTAGTCTATACAGGTTTATTTGGGGTTTTTTTGGCTTGAAAAAACATTTGGCCCCAGTTAAACTTAAATGATGACTCCTCCTGTAGACTCTACCAAACAAGATGTGTTTGGGTGTTTTTGTCTGTTGTAAGTTGGCATCCAACCAAACTTGGTATCGTGATTCTCAGTATTCTCAGTATTCTCAGAGGTTTGACGTTCTTCGGATCTTCTCCGTCCTGGTTTGGTGACGCCATCACTCCAGGTCTGAAGGTCCTGTTCTAATCTGCTCTTAATGTGTCCTCAAATCTACTCTCACAGAAACTACACTCAGAGGTGCTGTGAGGACGCATGCGTCCACATTCCTGAGCATGAATGAACACAATCTGTCCTTAGGACGCCTAAAGGCTCCGCCTCCTCTCAGTTGACGTCCTCTGACTTACTCTGACCTACACTTCTCAGAGCTCATGTGTTGATCTGTTCAGAGCCTCCAGCATAATACAAACACTGGCGGTCACATGATTTGTTCCTTCTTTTTTTTCGCTCGGAGGTAAAGTCTCAGAGCTCTATTTTACTCTCTCTGTGTACACACGAAGACTCCCACACAAAGACAATGGCGCAGCTATTCTTGAGAAAAACATGTATTTTTTTTGGTCTTGTGAACAGACGTGATGTCAGTGTGTTTTCGATCCAAGCACAGGTGAAGCCAGATTACGTATCATGTTGATGGGAGACTTAGCCGGGATGTAGTTGGCAGCCAGGTGCGAAGAGTCAGACTTGTTGCTGTTTACATGTGATTGGATCATCCAGGACAGATGTTAACGCTAGGTCTGAATCACAGACATCAGGCCAGATATTGTGCAGTGGAAGGAAGCAGTGAAACCACTGCTGGACTCAGTGAGTTACAGTATGTGGTACAGTATTGGTTGGCTATGGAATGCTGTTTAAAATAATTTAAATAAAATAAGCCAAAACTGTCAACAATATAAATTAGTCAGTTGGTTATAATGTGTCAAACAGATGGATGGACATCAGTCTTTACCAGATCTTGTACCAGTGTTTGGTGGACCGGATTAGAAAGCCCAACAGGCCGTACCTGGCCCTCGGGTCAGACTTTGCCCTGGTCTGCAACAGGCAAAGAAATATAATGAGCACAATAACGGAGATGATGACGTGGCAGTGATATGTATTTATACAAACTACCTATCAAAACAAAGAGGGAGAAATGCAAAACGCCTGACGTAGCTGTTACCAGTAGGAACAGTTGGTAAATACGTAGGGATCCTGTGTGTTTTAGAGAGCTGACGGGTAAAAAAATCACACTCAGGAGCAGTAGTGTGCGAGTCCGTGAGTCATCTTGCATTGGGCATCATTTACTTCATTTAAAGAGAATCCATTTATTTTCATTTTCTTTCTTTCTTTAAAGATAAGTCTGCAATTAATCCTTTTTTAAAATAATACCCCATCAGACTCCGATACAGTGGTTCCTCGTTTATCGCGGTAGATAGGGTCCAAGGCCTGCATGTATCCGTAGTAGTAGAACCGGCTCTTTTTTGTGAGGCTGCAAAAACATTGTGATCGGCAGTTAGTCGAAGAGTAGCTTGTAGGCAGTCACGGCGTCGTCAATTTTGTTGCAAAACTGGACCGATCGATCCATATCGTCGTCCCATTCCTGTGACATCTCTTGCAGATCCAAATCTGGGATAGAGTATATTTAATATATATAGTTTTCAAAAACCCGCAAAGTCGTGAATCTGCGAAAAGATGAACTGCGAAATAGCGAGGGACTACTGTACTAATAGGATAACATCTAAAATGTGTTTTATTTTTTAGGTTTTCTGAGCCTCAACAGTCACTCGATAGCAGTATAAACAGGATGTAGTACTGTCAAGATGACTTGATGTTTGCAATCCTGGCCACTAGGGGCCAAGTGGTCCACGAGATAAAAGGGGTTGGGGACCGCTGCTTTAGACGTGAGGTTCATCTGAGAGAGGTTCAGATAGAATGGGTTTTTTCCCGGCTAGGTTGCTTTGCTGTTAGCAAGTAAGATAACCAGGCTTGTTGGTTAACAAATAATATACAGAAGCATTGGAAAAGTAACTGGTTTTATGTAGTTCACCCCAACCAGAAAATGTACTTCCATCGCAGCTTGTCTCTGGTCAGTCCATTCTTGCCTCCTGTAAAGGAGAAGCGAACCTTTTGTGTCCTGCCCACAGCTAAAGCTGGTATAGCTGTTCTGGTGGGGACACTGTTTCAAGCACTTCTATTGTGCAGACACTGTCCATGTGGTCACATTTTGCATTTTTTATTTTTTTAGTCTTAATTTCATATCGGGCTTGGAATTAGAGGAGGGTTTAGATTAAGATTAGACAAACGTTACGTTAGGTTAAAGCCCAAGTTAGATTTGTTCATAGGTTCTATTGTCTGAAGAGGGATGTAGTCAGCAACTGCCGGCGTTGTCAGTGGCCCCTGCTCTGAGGGCTGACTTTGGGTGGGATCATGACTGCCATCTACAGGAAAGCCAGTGAAAAAACAGTTCTGAGCCACGCGACATAAAAGGCTCAAACCAACGGGATCTGGTTCTGGTTTATTAAAATAATCGTTCGCACTTATTGTCTTTATTCTAACACAAAGAGCTCGAGTTTGATTTCCACCTCCATGCCGTTCCCTCTCCTGTTGACTGTTCCTCCGACTGCCCTTAAAGTACTTTCTTGCGCTGCACACACTGACACGCACATACGGATACTTTGACTGCTGTGCTTTTTTTAATTCTCACACAAGGCTCTAGTGTGCGTGTGTTGTGTGTGCGTGCGTCGTCCCGAACATGAGTCACTTCCTTCACCACATGCTGCTGTGAATCACTCCTTCCTCCAGGGACTACGGTCTGTCTCCTCCCCCTTTTCCTCCCTCCGCCATGCCCTTCCCCCATGTGTTCTCATGTGAGGCCCTGGAAAGTGTCTCCAGCTCTGAGTTGTATGTGTGTCTGTGTGTGTGTGTGTGTGTGTGTGTGAGTGAGTGTGTGGGAGGGGGTTGGAGGGGATAAGAAGGAGGAGGAGGGCTGCGGGGGAGGCTGGTGGACGGGGGGATGGAAAAAAAAAAGGAGAGGGTTGTTAGATTGATGCCCCAGGGTCTGGGTTTGAGTTCCAATGCCTCCTGGGAGAAAATGGTGGGAAAAAAAGTCGCTCGTCCTGCCTTAGTTCATGCGCGCAGACACTCAAACATTTGTTTTTATCAGTCTCCGTTCTTCAGCGTTTGTTTGAATCCCAGTCTGGACGCGAACACACTCTCTCTGCTAATTCTAGCCTTTTGTTCCAACTGTTGTCGATTATTCCAGGAAGCGAGAGGAATCGATGTAAAAGGAGAGAAATGTAAACATCGTCTGCTTTCACCGTTGTTATGAGAGGCAAAAAGCTGATGGGGAATTGCCGAACCGTACATTTGCATATATTTATATATATATATATTTACATACATATGTATACGGTTAGCAGGCATTAGGACCAAACGGCTCTGGTAACAACTAAATGCACTGGTTGTTGCTGCTTTAAAGTGATATTTCTGGTTGTGTCAGTTACGGACACATGGTCGGAGCTGACTGTGCAGTGAGAGCATTCTGTGCCGGGAATCAGCCTGAGTCACGGAGGCTCAGGCTGACTGACAACATGGCTGCCAGCACAGGCACAATGAAGCAAAAACAACGTTTTAGGCCTGGACGCAGTGAAAATGTGTCTGCAGCTTTAGTTCACTGACAGTGTTCTCGTACAGGGACGTGTGTGTTGCTCTGTGAACCACTCACCCTCCTATAACGGAGTCCGTCGAGAAAATCACTTATTTAACATAATGGAAAACAGCAGTTGTTGATCCACTGCTGCCTTTATCGCAACGTTCAGATGTGTTTTTTAAGGTCATTGGTTGTTGGAGTCTTTTGTTCAGACTGATGTCATCGACACAAACTCACAAACAAGGGCGACAGTCAACCGGCACACCACAGTGTTTTGTGGGTTAGAAACAATACTTTTGTTTGTTAACACCGGTATAGGTGAGTGGGTGGTGAACTAACCTGAATTTCTTCCTAGAAAAGCCTGACTATCAGCGGGAAACCTGTTCTTGGGGTTTTTTTATTTTGAATTGACTGAAGCTTGGAAATCCCGAAATATGAACTGAATGTTTTGGCGTTGCACCTTTAAATGAAGTCTCCTCTTTTCACTTTTGCAGATGAAGACCGGTCCGTTCGCTGAACACTCCAATCAGCTGTGGAACATCAGTGCCGTTCCGTCTTGGGCCAAAGTGAACCAGGGCCTGATTCGAATGTACAAAGCTGAGGTAATACCTTCTACCGACCTGAAGGGGGCTAACAACACCAGGTGTTCCCTTTTTCAGGGCGGACAATTCTGACTTCTGAGGTTGAATTGAACATTTTTATAACATTTTTTCTGATGAATCTGATTTCCCTCGCAAATGTCGCAATGCATAGCCTTCAAGCTAGTTTATGTAGGAATTCTATATTAGTGTTGGTAAACACGAGGCCACAGTGGTTGGTGCTAGTGCCTTACAGGAAGTTCACCAGCGGTAACTGATGGTCTCCCTGTATGTGGGCTGTGTGTTTTCTCCGGTTGCTTCAGTTTCGTCTCACAGTCCAAACACATGCAGATTAGCTTAACTGTTCACACCAAACTGACCACAGGTGTGAATGCTAGTGTGAATGCTAGTGTGAATGCTAGTTTGTCTCTACATGTGACTGTGTGATGGACTGGATAACTATCCAGGGTGTAACCATGCCCTCCCTTGACCAAAGCTGGGACTGACCAAACATGGTGTTACGTGTTTATCCCCTCTGTCTCCTCCTGGGGGTGCTATAATATTTTTCTTATTTCGATTTATTCAAATTCTTGGTCAAAATCTGTTTCTGAGCCTAAAACAAAGAAGTGAAACTTAAACATTTGAAATGATTTATTCAAATTCTTGGTCAAAATCTGTTTCTGAGCCTAAAACAAAGAAGTGAAACTTAAGCATTTGAAATAATAATGTGAATAATTTCTCACTAGAGAATGATGTACATAAGTGTCGACGGTTTGTCACAGCAGGACATTCTTCTACGTAGTGTGCATTGATATGTTAGGCTCTACACCCCAACAGTGTTTAGTCTCATGTTATTACAGAATGAAAATATCCAAACTCTTATATTAAAACTGCTTTCAGTATGGCTTTATTTAGAGATTCATAAATTAAAATACCTCTCTTGAATAATTTACCAAACTGGCAACACACTGTGTCCGTTTGTACTGGTAAACATGAGCACCAAAGGAAAAAAGAGAAAATATCAGCAGAGGGCAGCATATGCAGATAAACAGATAAAATACTGCTATGCTTTTATAGTAGTATATTCCAAATGAATTTTCTGTTGATTTTTTTTTAATGAAATTCCCCTTTTCTCTACTTTATTTTCCATAGTTTCTAAGATTTTTTTTTAATTTTTTGTATATTTTTCCTCTTAGTATTATAAAAACAAACTACATTAAAAATACGAAAAGAAAACCATATCTTAATTATAAAAACCGTTTTCCATATTTTAGGTGACATTTAAAACCATCAGTCTTTACTGCTGAATGCCAGCTGTGACAAACGGCCAGAACTAGGCCGGCATCGAGTCGCAGCGAGGCAGGAAAGGGTTAACTGAGACGGAGATAAAATGGAATTGTGTGTGTGTGTGTGTGTGTCTGTGTGTGCGTTTGTGTGTGTGTGAGGCGGTTAGGAGGGAGGGGTTGGCGGGGGGAATGTCTAAGCTCGTTCTTTCCCCGCCTGCATGCCCACATCCTGTGTTTTCCAGAGCAGCCTGTGAGTCTTCCCAAAGAGCTGAGGGGCCAAGCTGTCTGCCTCAACCCCCCCCCCCCCCTCCCTCTTCTCCCTCTCTCCCCCATCGCTCCCTGCCTCCCTCCCTTTGCCGTTCCCTTCATTAAATCCTCCCCCCTCCCCTTCCCTCTCTCTCTGGTGCTCTCTCCCTCTCCCTCTCTCTCTCTGTCCCGACCTTCCTCTGAGCCTGGAGCAACCATCAGCAGACTCGCATTCCTCTCTCCCTTTTCCTGGCCCCACTCGCTGTTCGAGGCTGAGGGCTGTAGCGAGCACCGGCCGCTGCTCCGTGTCCCAGACTTCAGTCTGAGAAAAGGACACAAAAACACAGAGTGAGAGAAAACCAATCTTAGCTGCTTTTGAAGTTTGTTTTCAGTGCTGCCGTAAACAAACATCGGCCGCATTTAGAAAACTCCGTGTTTGTTCTGTAGCAACAATAAAACACCCGTTGCTGTTCTGGTTGTGTTAAACTTCTAGTGTCCCGACAGTGATTTCACTCGTTTCAGCTGATTCACTACATTTCTAAAAAAAAAAAAAAAAAAAAAAAAAAGAGAGAGAGAGAAAAAAAAGGTCAACATGTTAAGACCTGAATCTGAGTCCAGCTCAGTGAATGTGTCTGTTTGTGTTGTTGCTAAAGACAAAGAGGAGAATGAATGGAGAGTAGAGGAGACTTCAACCCAGGTCTCTGTAGAAACATCTTGGATTTTCAGCTGTTCAATTTCTTTCTTTTAACATTTTTTTTAAAATAGTATTCTTACATAAGGGACCTTTTTTTAAAACAGTAAATTTCTTAATTTTTTTATTTCCACTTACAAGAGTTACATACATGTGAGCAGAAATGCTTCAGACTTTGCGCTAACGACTGTAGAAAAATCTTCAATTTAAACTGTTTATTTATTTTAAAAATAAATCCCAAAAATCAGATCATTTGGAAAACACTCCTGTAAAAAAAAAATGTTCGGTTTTAGGGTAAATGTTTTAGCTTTAGAAATACACGCTTGACACATTTTGACTTTATATACATTCATTCAAAGCCAAACTGGACGACACACTACATCCTTCACAGCTTTAATCTACAAGTCACAGACAAGTCCTGTCAACCAAATAACAAGGTACAGTACCAAGCCCGTCGGGCTGTAAAAGGGTTACTAGCTTTAACATTTTCTCACCTTAGAGATAACTTCCCTACAGCTAACTAATAAACCACAAGGACATCATTTTCATCAGTATGTCCTTGTGCAGTAGACCAGGTGACCATCCTAGTCTGCTCAACGGTGTATGCAAACGCACTGACCGACAGAACTGTGCACAACTCACCTCCAGTGTTCCTCCAGTGCACTGTCCCAACCCCCACCACAGACACCCACAGCCCCACCCCTGCTCTGCTCCCCAAAAAACTGGGTCCGTGTCAGTCGGCACAAAGAGCCTCTCCGGGCTCAGTGGTGACCAGGGGAAGTCGGTCAAAGTGAAAGGTCGACAGGAAGCTTTAAGGTCAGCGCTGTCCCTAGGTCAAGGTTTAATCTTTGGACAGAGCGCTGAAGATTTTAGCATCGTGTTTGTTGTTCTATCGGAAGATAAAGAGTCAAACAGACCAGACATACAGTTAAGGAACAAAACATTCATTTTTATTAATCCACATTTTTCATCAGTTACAAACTCACAGTACAACTAGAGCAATTATGTTCAACCTTTGAAGACTTTTTGGTCTCTGAACCGTGTTGTCTGGTTTATTACCAGGACTATTGTAGCTAACTTTGGCTCTGGTGTCTGAACCAAGACTGTGGTAGCTAATGTTAGCTCTGAAGTCTGAACTAGAAATATTGTGGCTAATGTTAGCTCTGGAGTCTGAATCACGACTGTTGGAGCTAACATTAGCTCTTTAGTCTGTACCAGGACTGTTGTAGCAAAGGTTAGCTCTGGTGTCTGTACCAGGACTGTTGTAGCTAACGTTAACACTGGTGTCTGTACCAGGACTATTGTCGCTAACGTTAGCTCTGGTGTCTGTACCAGGACTGTTGTAGCTAAC